TGCCTGCCCCCGCGCCCTCCCGCGCTCGCACGGCCGAGTTCCTCCGCGCCTTCCTTGGTCCGCCGGCGATAAATAATTAATCCGGCAGTGTAACCGGGGGATTTCTGTCAGCTTCCCTTGCTTGCCGCCGTGACCCCTGAGCAGCGCCCTGATACGTGACTGCTTGGCGAAGGGCGGGGGTGGAGAGGGCATTTAGGCGGCGAAAAACACGGCAAACGTTTGTGTTCCCACTGCCAGCCTGTCGAAAATGACACGGATAACTTTCGCTCCCTCACGGAGGGAACGAACGTGGCAATGTGCCCAGTGCTGTGGCTCAGGTGCACTGCTAAAGTTAGGTGTGCAGTACTGGATGCTCAAAAATCGCTCTGTCCTGCTTTCTCGACAGCCAGAGCTGAGAGGAAAGATGCGTGGAAATGAGGGGTGATAATAGTTTAAATCCCTTTCCGCTAATGTTTTGAGATATGCTGATAGAGCCGCAGATCTTCCATTTGCATGCTTCCTCATTAGGGCATTTAGATTGTAGTCCCATCGGCCTTTACTCATGAAAGTAATCCTTCTCTGAGCAGGTAGTGGGTAGGGTTTACCTCTTAGGTCACCAATTTTCTTTTTTTTCGTTGTAATCTTAATAAGCACTACCCAGAACACTATCCAGAGATCATATCCTTTCATTAGAGCTACATGAAGTTCCTTTTCATTGTATTGTAGTGTCAAAGTGTTGCAGAAGACTTTTATATATGGTTATAGTTTCTCATCCAATTTTTAAAAATAAAGTTTGCAAAGTGCATGGTGCAGAAGTCCAATACCAGATTTAAAGTGTGGTTGACATTCTATGGGTACTTTTTCATTGGACAAAAACAAGTTTGCAGAAATCTATGGAGGGAAATGTGCTGCATGTCAGTTCTTTGTATGTTGCATGGTAGCAGCTTTCAGGGTAGGAGTGTTTACTCATGCACTCTGTTTTCCATACGCTCTATGAAAGTATTTTTATATTAATGATGCTGGAAGAGACTTTGTCCTGCAAGATCCTTGCTAATCTCATGACAATTCCTGCTTAATATGGTTTGCATCTTACTGGACAGAGATAACAACAGGAGCGAGTACCATAAAACATGCATTACTCATTGGAACAACCGTACTGCCACAGCACCTGATAATAAATATGTCATCTCTTACAGAAACATTAATCTCCATAATGTAGAAACTCACTAAAGTGCTCTGTTCTTAAACCTTCCCTAATATATTGTGAGAAGTTGCTCTTCTCTATCAAGATTTATGAAGTGTGTGGATTACTGGATTACAGTGTAAGCTTCAACACAAAGCATTTTACTTTTTTTCCATCACTGTTGTTAAAACAGGTGTAGTGCAATTCTAAGCAGAATTTAGGAACAAATGATATTAAATCTTAGCATAGAAATTCATCACTGTCCCAACATTTATGAAGAAATCTCAGCCCTTTGAAAACTTCTAGGTTTAGAAAAAATTTTTACACTAATAATGATATGTCTTTACATAATTTTTGGTATTTCAGTGACTTTCCCCTTTTTCCTTGCAGATTATGTATATTTTGAAAATTCTTCCAGCAATCCGTATCTCATTAGGAGAATTGAAGAACTTAACAAGGTACAAATATCTAAGATTCTTTCTTAACTTTTGGCAACAGTCAGTGTGCTTGTTAAAACCTGAGATTATTTCCATCCCTTAAGATTTCTACTGTGGTAGGGTTTTCTGGTTACTGAGGACTTGCTGTGTGATATCTTGTGATTCTGCCCTGTTACCTAAGCAAACACCCAGTTTTTCATTCCTAGTGAACAGGATTACTCTGCTGAAAAAAAAAAAAAAATTTCTAACGAATTCTATGAATCTTGGAGAAATGAATGGATTTAATTCTTTGGCTGACGATGACACTGTGAATCCATCTGGAATGACAGCCATCATGTAATGTGTCTGCTTTTAGATAGATGTCTAAAGAGCTGGAAGGCAGGAGTGAGACTTTGCAGTGATCAAATAACAGAATATGTGACTTCTGTGGCTGTTTATTGCTCTGCCTATTGACAGCTGTAAATGAAGAATGGGCTTTTGAATAAAGTACAGGCTGTGTTCTCTGTCTATCCAGAGAGTGTTTTCCTAAAAAATGGAGGCTCTATTGACTGTCATTTTGAGGAAAGCATGATTATTTTTCTTCACTCTTGCCCTACTAAGAGTAGTTTGGAGTTTCTATATGTATTATTTTTTTTACTTTTCCCTCAAGCAGTATTAAAGCTTACTAATGCGCTACATCAAAAGTTAATTGTCAAAATTCCCATCATGATGTAAGTAATGATTAAGATATTTTTTTCCTAGTGGATAGAAATTAAATTAAAAAATTGGTGACCTGCAAGTGGTTTTCTTCTTATTAATGAAACATAACACTATGCCATAGCAGACATCAACCACATTAACTGTTAGTGCTGTCCAACATAACATCTACTGAACTTGTGCATGGCAAATAATTTTTCACTTTTATTGGAGAAGAAATTTTTTTTATTCACAGTAATTGACATGGTTCCAATTATATATTGAAGGTAATGCTTATTATATTTAAACTACACTGCTATAATTTAATCTTGCTTGTGCAGGGTAAAAGGAAGTCATGTATGGATTTTTTTTTTTTTTTCTTAAAGAGAGGTTGGAGGTTTTAGTCCAGACATCTTAAATGTGAATGGTTTGCTTTCATGTTTTAAAAGTATTGAGAAAATATGGAGATGTTGTGTAAATAGGTAATGAAACGCTTTGATTATTGTTCTACCAGGGACAATGTTTTTGTAAGAAACTTAATCAAAACATTGTACTTTTTAGTATTACATAAGTAACTCAAGGTAAAAAAGTACTTTTGTAGCCTTCGAGGAGGATACAAATATTCTTCAAATATCAGTAAATTCTTCATTGAAGATCATGGTCCCCATAATGAGTCATGAAAACAACTAAATAGCTCTTTTATTTTAGGAGCTGTTGTGACTTTTTTGAATAAACCTTTCAAAAGACTTTCAAGAAGACTTTTTCAATAAGTGTTACATTAAATGAGATTCTGAAAAAATGCCACAGTACTTTGAAATATACATTTCTGTCTAAAGCTGGATTGTAAAGAAACATTCACAAGATACTAGCATTTCTGAAGGATTCTTCTGTTAGCATGGTACTGGCATTGCACCTCTGAACACCTGAATGCAATATAAATTCTGAGCACTCAATTATTGTAGTTAATCCTCTCGTCTGGTCTGAAATTGCTACTGGCCTCTCTCAAGAAGTTTCTATTTATTGGAGTAATTCTGTTGATTTCAGCTTGACTGATCATGTGAGAACGACTGATATGAGGGAACACTCCAAGCAGAGAGCGTTTAATTTGTATTACTCAGTTGAGGAAGGATACATTCTGACTTGATTTTCCCTTTCTTTTGTAGACTGCCAATGGGAACGTGGAAGCAAAAGTGGTTTGTTTTTACAGGCGAAGAGATATTTCTAACAGCCTTATAATGCTTGCAGATAAGCATGCTAGTAAGTAGATGGTATAGGGCAATTTTTCTTACTAACATAGCCTGCTCAATTTCTGCAACTGCTTAAAATTGCGGGTTTTTTTGGCACGTGAAATATATATTTATGTGAGGCATTTATTAATATCCGGTTAGCTGCTTAGTATTATCTGATACTCTCCTGCTCTTATCAGTCGTTTCTGGGAATTAAGCTGTATCCAAGTGATTGAGACTGTTCATCTGGAAAAAAAAAGAATATATCTTTTCATCTGGAAGATATGGCTGCATTTCTTTTTTATTATGTCAAAAGTAATTCTTGGTTGTAAGTCAATTTAAGCTTAAGAGCACTTGTGATTATTTGATGTGACTTTTTTGAGTTAGATATAAACATGTATTGCTTAATGTAAAGAGTGAAATGTATCATTGGGGACTGAAAATCGCTGGAGGTTGTAAAAGAGCTGTTATGTGCATTTATGCTAAATGTAGATATTAGTAAAAAAACAGGGGGGTTGGGTTTTATTCTTGCTTTTTATTCTTTTTTCCCCAGAAAAACAATAATTGGTAATAGGTGAAAAAAGCCCCATTTTTCAACATGAACCTAACTTCTTTTTGGTACATCCCATTTGGTATACAAATGAAATGTCAGATTGTTCTGTAACTTCTTGATGAAAAATATAATTTCAAAGAGAAAAAATACAATTCTGAAAATATAATTCAGAACCTAAAAAACTGAGATGAAAACAGTAATTTGCAAAATACTCCAGTCATATTTGTAAATAACTGAAATGTGAAGTACATCAACATCCCATAAATTTCTTGCCATATGCTTTTAAATACTGTTTTGATTATATATGATGCTTGAGTTTTCAACATTAATCTGTGAATAAGTTATGTAGGGGTTATAAATTTCTAATTTATCGGGATGAATCTCTTGAAATAGAGATAGATAATTTATGGCATTAGATAATGCCAACTTTTTTATGTAGATGTATGATGGTGTAATTAGGTGCTTTAAAAATACCCTGCCATTTATTTAATTTATTTATTTATTTAATTTATTTAATGTCCTGCTCTGGTAATTTTGCTCATCCAGGTATGTATGGTTAGTGAAGAGAAACAACCAAGCTTTGGTTTTTGTTTTATTCTTTTATTTGCCTTAGGGAAGTGGGGGTGATTTGAGTACGTAGTATGAAGTACTAGCTTGGTTTTTATAGGAGGACTTTACATATTGCTTATGTACTAAGAAAATGATTTAATGTTTTTCTTATATAGTTGGGTACACTCTGTAGTTATTTGTGACAAGTTTCTAGCACTTTTTTTTGTTATTTTACTTTTCCAATGGAGGGGGCAAGAAACTGTGAAAAGGATAACAACTTTATTGGAAATACTTTTTTTTTTTAACTTTGATTTTTAAAACTTTGATCTTGTAAATTATTTTTTTTTAGTTGGCTTATTTTTTAGAAGAGGGTAGGTTTGTCCTGTTAGTATGTTAGTGGGTCTCATTCAATCTAGAAAAGTGAATAAGATTTTTTTATTTCCTTTGTGAGTTTTACATTGCCATTTTGTCAGCACTTTGATAGAAAGGATTTGTTGATGGTCTGTTGCTCTTCTATGGCATACTAGGTGCTTGTTTATGTCACTAGGAGTGCCATGGAGTCTTCCATCGTGTTTTCTCTGTTGGGATTCTCTTGTGGTTTTGCAGTGAGAAGACAGAAATGTGATTTTCAGCTGGTTCAACAAGCATCTTTAGCATGCCTGTGTCTCACAGGTTATGAGCTTTCTAACCCAGTGCTCTTATGAATTACATTTCTCTCTGAACATTTTCTCTGGACACAGTGTTTCTGTTCTGACCAATCTATGGAATCTCTAGTGCCAAGGAGATGTTTCTTACAATTACAAGGGACAGCACATAGTGAAGGATTGCTCACCTAGAGCTTCCTATAGCTCATAGAGCAGATGTAGTTAAATGTCAAATCAATTTAAAGGCTTTCATTCTGGAATAACACAGTGTTCTGTTTAAAAATACAGTGTGTGTAAACAAAATATTTGTGTATTTATGAATTGAATGTTTTGGAAATGTTTTATATAGCTAAACGTGTTGACACTTCAACACTTCTACCTGGTTTGGTATAAAATTAATGTTAAAAGATACAAATTTCTTAAGGAATGGAAACTCTAGTTCAGCCACTCATTTCTCCTGTGTGTCTGTTTGGAGAAGTCTTTTAAGTATAAGATCTGCTTGATCTTTTCTAATGATATTTTGTATTGCTAGCATTTTTTTATTTCTTTATGATTGAGAAAACTGGTCTGATTTATGCATTTCTCAAGATTTTGGCAGGTGGGGGTTGGGTTTTTTTTTGACTGGCGCATCAATTTCTGAAGGTTACATATTGAGATGTAGATATGGTCACATTTACTAAAAGAATAAAACAGCTTTGTTAGAAAATACTTTGGAACTTTAAAAAGAAATTTTCAATAACTTGAAAAAGTTACAGAATTATTCTAAGGAGCGTTTGGGAAATATGGAATAAAGTGGATCTGTGACTTTATCACTGGTAAGGAGTCAGTATATTGTTTTCCTAGGGTGTTTTCTGTTGTTGGGTTGGGGTTTTTTATGTTCGTTTTTCTTGTTTGGGGTTTTGTTGATTTTTGTTTGTTCTTAAAAATTGGTTGGGGATTTTTTTATTTGTTTGCTTTTAAGTTGTCTTCCAAAATGTTTCAAGATATTGTAACAAATTGAGGGGGGGATATCAGATTTTCCTTAGGCCGAAGAAATTGTATTGCCCTCTTTTTTTCCTTGGTGTTTCGGGTGGAATTTCATTAAGGAAATTTTTATTTGTCAACCAGCATCATGTATGACATCAGTTTAGATCTGGAAATAATTCTAGAAGCTGACTGTAGCCACTTAAATCCGGGGATTTGGAATGATTTATGGGCACTTGAGGACTTTGTTTTCTCACCTTTGATTTATGTTACTATAAAATAGAGTTTGTGGTGAGGTCAGCTTGAAATACAAACCAAAATAGTGTTCAGGATCAGCTTCTTGATCCTGTGCAGCCTCCTGAGCTTAGAAAGAGAGTTCATTTGGGATGTTAACACTCACCAGTACTTAGGTTGTAGTCATCACCACAGGGTCACTGTCAGGGGGCTGCTCCTTTCTTGGCATGAAAGAATTGACCAGCAGAGTAAGGCTTCCTGTGAAGGGAAAAGAAGGAAGAGAGATGAATAGAGGATGGCAGGCAGTGCAAGACAGATATTGCAACAGATACCTCAATGCGTGAGTGAACTTGGAGACCCGGGACAGCTCATTGAAATGGGTGAAGCAAACATAAAGGGGTGGCATAGAGATATTTCCTAACTAGATGGTGTGATTGAGAAATTGCCAGCTGTAGCTGAATCTTTAAAATGTAGATGATTCTTAATTTTCATTTGAATTAATGTAAGTATTTTAGGGCAAGGTTTTAATAGTGTGGAGAGGAGACTGTATCAGCTTTGTACCAGCACTGGTTTTGGGTTACAGCAAGGGGCTCAAGTTCTGTGTTTCCTTCTTTTGCAGTAGATTTATCATAGAATCTTAGAATACCAAGGGATATGAGGATACAAGGATACAAGGAATACATGAGGATAACTGAGTCCAATTCCTGGCTCTGCAGTGTCCATTCCAAGAGCCATACCATATTTTAGGTTTATTCACTACTGCTTCCTTGAAGCTGAGTGGGGTGACCTGAGTGCGTGATGCCATTTTTTGCAGTTCTTTGCACTTTAAGTTCTTTATCTGATCATGTGTTATCATGTAATACTATGTCTGAAGTCATTCTCTTATTGCAACTCCTCAGCCAGCTTTTGCCTAGTCAACCATCTGGTGAGGATATAAAAAAAAATTACTGTTGTTGGAGTCCTTCATCTTCTGATTTATTAAGAAGATTTGTTTCATTTAGGTGTGCTGAGATGCTGACTAAATGCCAAGAATATTTCTGGGCCTGTGATAAAGCCCAAGCAGAATGTATTTTTTTCCTCATTAACACAATTGATATTCTTTCTGAATGAGAGTGTAGTCAATTAAAAAAACTCTGAGATATTTGTTTCATTGACTGAGATGAAAGGTAAAATGAAATTCTTCTAGATAACAGAAACTGACAAAGTCATGTTCAATCTCAGTTGTTCTTTTAAGAGATCACTTACTGGCTTTATTTCTTGTTGCACATTTTAAAAACCTTTATTCTTTTGCTTTTGATCAGCCATGTGTCATGTCACATTGCTTTGTAAAATGGTGTTTCTGCTCCAAAATTTTTGTACATGATATCTAGGAGGAGAAGAGTCCTGCTAGTGATTCCTGGTTAGACAATCATTAGGGTTGGGAAAAAAAACTTCCAATATCCAGCCTTTGACTGAACACTGCCCTGCCTAGTAAGCTTTATCATCAAATGTTGGAGTCTTTACTCATTTCTGACCTTCGTATGACATTGATGTGTTGTAATCAGAAACAAATCCAGTATTCTCTCTGTACTTCAGGTTTTTTTGCCTGTAAACCAAGGCTTCTATTAAAAGTTCTTGTTGAAGTTGGTGAAAAATATTTAATATGCCAATATTAAAATTTTTATAGTTGCTGTTAAAAGAACTCAAAGCGTCTTACAAACACTCATAGTTTATTTTCTATATAATATCAAGAATGTTCCAGTATTCCTGGAAATGGCTTGATCTTGCAGAGCAGTTTAGCTGCTGCTGAGCCTTCTTACCTTCACTTAAAGGTGCTTGTGTTTGAAGGGAGGAGTGTTTTGCATATTGTCTATATTAACTGCCAACACTCCAGGTGCATCCGAGAGAATGAAGCTGTTAACATTCCATCTGATTTTTGAGAAGCATTTAATTTCAGTAGCGCATCATGCTAGCAGGTATCATTGAAAATGTTAAGAAAATGAGCTTAACTTGGGCAGTAGTGTTTAGCAGTTTACTCATTGATGTTCCAAAAGATACACAAAACTGAAATGTGAATTCCTTTTGCTTGCCATCAGGTTTTTCAACATA